CCCCAAAACCCCAAAACCCCAAAACCCCAAAACCCCAAAACCCCAAAACCCCGAATTTTAACGAGGAGATTAGAATAAATATAATTCAATATGAATCAGTTTATTGATTTTAACCCTTCCTATGCGACTGCTAGGATCTCTACAGGAATTGAAAGAGAGCCAAAGCCCAAGATGCAAGCAGACTTCAACCCATACATGAAAGGGTTCAACAGTTACTACAATGATAACAATAAATTAGTGACTGTAATGGATCAATTCTATCAAGATTTTAATATTATAAATAACACTTGCAACGGGTACTCTTCTGCCAAGCCTTCTCCCATGGAAAGGAGGTATTCGGCTATCAGTTCTAAAGAATTTCGCAAAAAGCATAACATGTTCGTGAAAAGAGCAGATCCAGTTTCAGAAGCGAGGACTAATGATGTAAGTAAAACCCAAGAATGCATTTTACCTTGCCGTATAGACCTAGGTGATATGTTACGCCAAGAGAAAGGCTTAACAGTGGATATGTAAATATCCTCGCTCATGACAATACCAAGGAGTATCGGGATGAGAAACAGCAAAAGCAGATTCTAAATGAAATAGTCCAGCAACCTATTGCTAGAAATCTAGCTGAAACTCCTATCACTGCTGATAACAACATTGTATTTATCAATAGAGACTCTATAATTCGAAGACCCAGAGAATTTAAAACTCCACCTCCTCCGAAGTATGGCGAGGAGGACGAATACGTTGATAACCCTCGTGAAAGTTTCTATGATCCTTTATTCGATCCTCATAAAACTAAATTTAATTTTCTTGATACAAGAAATGGATCTGTCAGTCGACACTACAAGAAATACATCGATAGTCAGACTCTTAAAAAGCGAAAGGATAAGCATCTAAGAAACAAAAATGACTCAATTTCAGAGTCTGAAATTAATGATACAATCGGTGATTTACCCGGCTTTGATGCTCAACAAGCCAAGTATCACAAAATGAATAGGAAGATCAAGATGCCTCCTACTCTAAATTCTCCTCCTCTCCAACGCTCAGTATCTTTAACATCGAGACATGGATTCATACACAAGAATTATGGGAATAATAATTCTACTATGAATAATACTCAGAAGTTGTACAGGAATAATTCATTCAAAGTGATCTCTCCTAATATCATAAATGGTCCAATCATGAGAAATGCACCAGCCATGAATCAAGAAAAGGTCGCCATCAGTAAGCTCTCTTCAAGACCAATCAGGTCTGGAGCTTTCCAGAGGATAGACAGTAAAAGACTTTTAAATAAGTATTAATTTCACCGTTATATTCCTCTAAACCCTCAAGCTCGGATATTTCAGTCCAATATTTATTGAAAGGGGTTTTGGGGTTTTGGGGTTTTGGGGTTTTGGGGTTTTGGGGTTTTGGGG